TATATATATATATATATATATAGATATATATATATATATATATATATATATATAGATATATATATATTATATATGTATATATATATATATATATATATATATATATATATATATATATATATCCGTCGGTTGTACGTTATTGGTGTCAGAAAAAATAAGCATTTGAGTATGTCTATGCGTCCGCAGTATCCACAAAAGTTGAATGTATTCATTGTAGTTTTGGTAGATAATATGATTGGTCTTTTTTTCGTCGAAGGAAATCCAAACGCAGTAAAATATCTTTAATTACAGCAAAATCAAATTATGCCTGAACTTCAAAACTTCACATCAGTTTAAAGCAAATTTGGTTTCAACAAGACGGCTGCCCTTTTAGGGTTGTTAGAGACCTTTTGGTTATACAGAAGAATCCTGAAGATACCATGGACAAAGTCACCAATGAAGAAGTACTCCGGAGGATGAACACAACCGCGGATTTGGTCAACATCGTAAAGAGCCATAAGATAGAGTACTTGGGACATATATTGAGAAATCAAGGCAGATACGAGCTACTCAAATGCATTTTGCAGGGTAAAATTAAAGGAAAAAGAGCCATAGGACAAAGAATATCCTGGCTTGCTAACCTGAGGGCATGGTATAGAAAGATCTCAACACAGCTATTCGATTCGGCATGAGATAATGATCACAAAATAATCACCAAAGTTCGGAAATGACAGGCACCCTAAGAAGAAGAAGAAGAGACCGTTTAGCTTTAGTTTTTCATGAACGTGTGTTTAGTGCACAGGATACAATAAAATAGCCCTCGCGCTCACCCGACTTAACTCCTCTAGATTTTTATTTTTGGCTTATGCCCTAGACCAAGTTGTAGAGGTGATGAATCTAAGTGAGCACCAACAGGTTGAAGCAACAAAGACAAAAAATCATGTACCTTAGCCAAAACTTAACAAATGAACTCAATGTCATGAGAAAGGCATTGTAAAAGAGATTTCGTTCCTGTTTGGCACAACGTAATGGTTTGTTTAAACATTGTGCTAAGAATTGTTTTTGGTTCAGAATTTCTAATTAATTGAAATTATTTTTAATTTATTCAGTAATTTTGGAAATATTTTTTATTTTATATCATTTTTATAAGACTAATTTTATATTCACACCAACTACATCTAAAATAGCTGGACAAAAATATAGTTTTAAAGATATTATTTGGAAAATGATAAATAATACCCTATTTTTAATTAAAATCAAACTAGTAATATTAAATATCAGTGTACAAAAACAAAAAATAAATAACACAAGTAATCTTTCCTTAAAACACCGACAAATTAGTTCATAGCCGTCCTATAAACAATTTTCGTGATGTATAAAACATTTAATTGCAATACAGAATGAACGACAATGTGCAATTCGTGAGAGACATAGACAATCCATTCCTGAAATTAAATAAAGTAAACAGATCTCCGATGAGTAAATCATCTTCAAAAGAAAATACCACTACCTTGCAAGTAAGTAAGTACCATGCAAAAACCATCGCAGAAATACAACCTCGTCTAGCAAATCACAAAGCAATGAAAACTACACAACAAACTAACTCTTTTAAACTCTTTTGTTTCCAATCATGCTTCTTCTTCTTTTTATTAACCGTCGCAACATTAATCCGCAAAATAGCCATAAAATTTAAGAACAACAATGGGAAGCTGTTAAATACTGCAAAAAGCAATTAATGACAGCTCTAAGACGATATACAACCAAAACCAACAATAATAAGTAATTACTGGCTCAGAGCACCTACACCGACGTCTAATAGATTTGATAGCTTAAATGAAGTATGAAGTACTTGATAAGACCAACTAAACCGGATCTGGTGAAGATAAAAAGGGTATTCAACCTCACCTATATTTGTTGCATTGAACAAAAAAATCTGCCAGTGCGTAAAGGCTACATACTTTAAATTGTACACGCAAGAAACGCAGCAATAACGTATGGTACGTACTTTGTATGGGAAGCCATCCAGCAACTATAAGGGCTGCAGCGTATAAAAAAAATTCAAAAAGAAAAATTCCCCTTACTTAGGGAGAAACCAAAGTCCCATAGAATAGGCATCAAGAAAACTAGCAATCAAATAATATTCTCTGGTGTTTCTTACGCTCAAAAACTTCAGAAAATCGTCAAACGACTGAAATCACAAACTACAATTGCTTATCTTGGAAACCTAATGGAAAAACTAATGGAGAGAATAAACACTATGCTTAATCTCCTTACCACTATGATTTAGAAAATTCACTAATGCAACACCGACTTAAAATAGCCGTATCGAACTCAAATGGCCTAACGAAGTATATCCAAGAAATCAAAATTGTTGTCTAAGGAGAGAAAATTGTTGTCCTCTGAGTGCAAAAAAAATTTAAGAGAAAAGAAAATAAAGTGGCAAAACACACATGAAGCTATTGACAAAGAAAACATAAATATAATTACCAAAAGATTTAAAAATCTGTTAAATCAGGAAAAAATAAGGGGATCCAAACTCATCTAGAAAATCTGACGCCGTTTTAAGACACAAACCATTCTTAAGCGCCAAAAAAGTAAGAGGGGTACAAGAAGCCGAACCTGCTTTAAAAAATGTTAAAGGTAAATGGGCGAAAACAGGTACAGAGACATCTGAGACATTTGCAGAACATATTTTAAAAGTATTTAGTCCATTTACCAGAGTAGATAGTGCCTCTAGAACAAGAAGAACCACTTCATTATTTTCTTGGCGTTCCATATAAAATGAAACTACCAATCTCCCAATTTAACATTAAAGAAGTAAAACAGATTATTCATCATCATCATCTTGGTACTACAGACCTTAGAGGGCCTCGGCCTTCTCAAGCGTTCTATGTCATTCTGTTGTGTCCATTCTTGCATTTCCAGTTGCCGACTCCAATCTTCTCCTCATCTTGTGGGACCCCATCCATCCACCTCAGCTTTGGTCTACCCCGTCTTCTCATTTCCACGAGTTGCGCTGTTAGAATCTTTTTTATCATGTTCGATTCAGAGGCCCGGGCTACATGTCCTGCCCACTGCAGGCGGTTTCGCTTAATTATAGTGGTAATATCTTTACCTCCAAACGTATGCTTGTAGATATTCTGCAGTTCAAAGTTATATCTACGTCTCCATATTCCGTTCTCACAGATTGCTCCAAATATCTTGCGTAGCACCGTTCTTTCAAAAATCGATAGAGCGGATTCATCTGTTTTAGTTAGCGCCCATGCCTCTAACCCATATGTGAGAACGGGGACTATCAGTGTTCTATACAGCCTTATACGAGTTTTTTAAGACAGATGTTTGTTAGCTAAGTACTTTGATAGACCATGATAACACCTGTTTGCAACCATTTTTCGCCTTTTTATTTTATCAGATGTGTTATTATTGGGGTTAACCGTTGTCCCTAGATATATAAACTCTTTAACTGGTTCGAAGTTTTGGTCATTGATGATTTATTTTGCGTCAACATTTCCAGCTTGTGTTTGTGTTTGTCGTCATGAATTTGGTTTTATTTTGATTTATATGCAATAAGTGCTGCTGCTACTAGCTCGGTTAGGATTTGCGCAATTCTCGCCCTGGTTCTTGTTATAATGTCCACGTCGTCTGCATATGCTAGAATTTGGACTGATCTATTCAATATTGTTCCCTGCTATCTAAATTAGCGTCTCGTACAACTTTTTCTAAGGCGACATTAAAAAGCTGACACGCCAGCGCATCTCCCTATCTTAACCTACTATTTTTACGGCTGATAGCATCTTCGCTATTGTCACTTTTTTCAAACATATGAGTTTTTTGGAACTCATCCTTAGCGTTGTAAAGACTTGGTTGTAAGACACTGTCATATGCCGCTTTAAAATCGACAAAAATATGATACATATCTATGTTAAACTCTTGCACTTTTTCGAGGGTCTGTCCTAGTGTAAAGATCTGGTTAATGGTTGAACGTCCACGGTTGAATCTTGCCTGCTAGAAATCTCTTAGAAACATTTCGGTATAAGGCTTTAATCCCTCGTACAAAATGTTTGACAATGTCTTGTATGCTGTATTAGGGAGATTTATTCCGCGGTAATTATTGCATTCCAGTTGGTTTTTCTTTTTGTATAACGGGCAAATAAAGCCTAAGCTCCATTCTTCAGGCATTTGCTCCTCAGACCAAATTCTACAAACAGTTTCTCGCATCACCTTGGTAAGCTGCTCTCCACCGTGCTTAAATAACTCTGCTGGGATGCCATCGCTACCTGGGGATTTGTGGTTCCTTAGTTTTTCTATAAATATTTTCACTTCATCTACCGAGGGGGGTTCCACGAGTTCCTCATTTCGGTATTCCAGCTCTATATTGTTAGTAGGTTCCCCTTCCAGCAATTCTCGAAAGTGCTCTATCCATCGTAAAAGGATATCCTCTTTGTTGGTAAGTAAGTTACTTTCCTTATCATTACAATAGTTGATTCTTGGTTTGAATTCTTTTCTAATAATATTAATTTGATGATAGAACTTTCTTGTTTACCCGTGACTCATATGGCTTTCGAGCCGTTCTAATATGTCATTTTCCGAGTCTCGTTTCTTTTTTCGGTGTAGGCGTTTTTCCTCTCTCCTTAAGTTTTTGTATCTATCTATCGTTGTTCTAGTTTTTCGTTGTTGCATGGTCCTAACAAGTAACTAGTAACAAAAAACAAAATGTGTTTTAAAATAAAAACAATTTATTATTGTTTTGTATTTTGAGAACGATTTCCAAAGTGGAAATTGAAACGTCAAAAATAAACTTATAATAAACTTAAATTATGACTTATTCCCAATAAAAATAGTAACTGCATTAAGATACCAGAAGAAAATAGCTTCAGAACAATACTAATTAATATAATTTATGTATATGATCCACTCTGTATGATAAATACTAATAAAATATTTGAGATCTATTAAGTATTAGTAATAAAATGATTTGCAACTCTTCCAATAGTGCTTTCTAATTACGGTTTTGTATATGTTTTAAATTACTGTCTTTGCTGACAATAACAGAGTAAGTAGTTGTTAACAAAATACGTTTATGTGAGTGACCAACCTCTTTGAACTTATACAAGCGAGCTTCCTGGATTGCGTCCTTGATTTTTATCGAAATTTCCATTTAATTACCATTCAATTGCGTTGACATTTTGAAAGCTTATAAACACTTTTAACGAATGCTCGATACAAGCTGCGCGGTTGGTACGAGCGGTTCAGTTCCCAAAAAGCGCCTTTAAGAATAAGATCATGTCGACCACCGTAACCCAAACCGTGGTGAAGGAGGAGGAAGCTAAGCTGTCGAAAACCCGGGATGTGAACTGGATGAAGGTGTTGTTCCAGTTGCAGATCACCCTAATGTCCTTATGCGCGATTCATTTTATTTTATATGATTTACAATGGAAGACGCTTTTCTTCAGTAAGTATATTTTAAAAGAATATACCGCCGCGAAATTTGTAAATACTTATTGTAATTTCGTAACATTTTTAAAATATTAATAATGGTAATATAATAGTGGCATATTTAGGTTTCCTGTTTTATTTATTTAATCTGTTGTTTAAAAGCTATCTCTTCACATTTGAGGGCTCCCGGGCTAGTGTTTGAGAGCTATTCATATTAATTTCTCCCACGCAATATTTTTGTGCAGCCATATTAAAAAGTTCTTTATTATATATGTCTTTAGAAATTGTTTCCTGTTTTTCTCAAAGTCTCCATTCTCTGCTGATTTGAAAGTGTACCTAATTATTTATTTCATCTGCAATTTCAGTACCGTTAGTAATATATTGTTTTAGACATGTCTCGTATATTCTCACCCTAATTTTTGTTGCCATTTATTGATTTCTCCATATCATCTTCACTTTTTCTACTCTCTACTCTTGTATGGTATAATATAATTGTTCTAACATCTACTTGTTTAGTTGACTTGTATTAGTACCCACAATTATGTTTTTTAAGTTGTCCAAATTTAACAAATTTAAGTTTAGTTTATCTTCTCCAATTGTGCAATTAAATCACAAAGTTTATATTGGCTTCTCGTATATTGTTGTTTGTTACTTTTTATTTTTAGTTTTGTTAATAGTCGCGTATATTTGCATCATTGATTGGTCGAATACTTTACTTAAAATATTAGCCATTTTTTCCAAACTTTTTTTTCTACTGTGTTCTAGTTACTCTTAATAAAATATGATAAGGCAAGATTTTGATGGAACTCTAGTGTAAAGTAACTTCCATCTATCTATCGTCCGTTCAAATTTAAATTTAAACAAATACCATCTTTAGTCCAGACAACTTAAGATATTTTTTTACCACCAAAAATGAGATGAATAATTTTGAATTAGGTTCCGCTAATGAACTAGGTTTTTTTCCTTAAAAGTAAAAAAAAAAATTAATTTCTATTGCTGAATATTTATCGTCTAACTTTTTAATTAAAATACTAATAAGGTAAACTGGTAAAAAATAATGTAAAATGTTTAGACGTACATATTAAGGAGGAATCGAAATAATAAAGAAAATGAATTTAAAGTATATTTGATAGCTTGATGTTTTCTTTATCAAAATAATTAATAACAAAATAAAACATGTGTTTTTATTCGCAAAAAAATGTTTTCACTAACATGCAAAAAACCTAAAGTCAGGCCTATGTTGAAAAATTAGTGGTAATTTCGGCCTAATGCTGACTTAATTCCGGTCTGTATATCAAAATAATTATTTTTTTTTGTTTCAATTTGTATCTACATGCATTTTTTGTAAATATGTATTTTATTGTTTTCACGGTAGGTATAAAAAATACAGAAGCATCAAAAAATATTTTTTATATAAGAGGCATAGAAAAACTAAACAAAATAAAACGATGTACATGGGTAATACATTTTGAACATAAAAAAATAAAAAAAAATACTTTCATAAGTTACTCAGCAACAGACTTTGTTTCATTTATTGCATAATAGCAAAGAGCTATGAAAGACCTACAAATTATTAATGTCAGGTACAGAAAAAAGACCACTTTTCCTAATGTAATGAGGCGGTGCAATTAAACAAACAATGTTTTGATAATGATCACCTATTTTTTTTTCATACCTTTGATTTTGAATTTATCTTGTGTTATTTCTTCTACGACACCTGGAAAATGTTTCTCCTCGTAGACTAAAATGCGTAGTCACCTAATTCGTAGTCGCCCACCTTTTAACACATATAATTTTTATCAACTATAATAACAACTCCCGTTTGTGCTTGGAATTGTTCTTTCCAGAATAATACATTGTTGCATATCTTGTTACAAATTCTGTTTGTTTGCCAGCATCTCTTAATTCTTGATGACATTGAAATTTATATGAATGAAATTTATTTATTTTCCTTTAACACCGTGGAATTATGAATATTAAACTGGTCTGCAGTGATCCGAGAACTTATTCTAGGATTTTCAATTACTGCTGTTAATAGATTTATTTTATTTTGATTTTCTAAATTTCTTGCTACCTCAGCAATATTGTTGGTACAGGTATAATTAGAAATCACGGTCTCACTATTTTCAAAATTTTGTAATTGATCTGTTGGGATATCTTACGCTAAATAAAGAAGTGCCATTTCGCGCAATATTGCCAATATAAAACGTTTTTATTATTGCTATTTTCTCCTTAACTGAGAAATTTTTTAAATTAACTTTATTGTTTTTAAACAATAAATCACAAAATCAAAATTTTGGCAATTCAAATATTGTCAAATATCAGAAACACAGATATGACCAAACCCAACACGTCATACGCATTCTTGCACTGCGTGTAGCTTGATTTTAAGGGTTGGCCTAAAAATTGTATTATATTTTTGCAAAATTTTGGAATGCGTTTAATTTGTAGAACAATTTTAACGTTTGTTTTCGATGCAGATTTCAGTCCTCTGCAAATAATTTTCCATGACTTGGTGTAAAATAATTAGTAGGGAAGGAATATTTATATACGTTTATATGACATATCTAGAATAAATATACATACTGTATTTTTATAATTTATTTTTCAGTGCTAGCTTTAGTGTTACTAGGACAACTGGGTGTTACAGCTGGGGCACATAGGCTATGGGCACATAATACGTACAGCGCTGATGGTATTCTCAGAGCTTTTCTTATATTTTGTCAAACTCTTTCTGGAACCGTAAGTATTTCAACTTTCTACTTATTTAGTAACCTTAAATTATTTTTTTTTTGGAATGTGGTGTTTGTCCATAAATTCTGAATCATTTACTATCAGTATCGTGATTTCCTGTTCATTCTTCATTAAAAATCAGATAGGTTAAATCATTTCGTTGTCTGTATGTGTATTATGTGTAATAAGTCTTAAAAGAATAGCCTTAGAGTCTTAAACCTTAATGCACAGGTTCCTTTGTGTCCAAATAAAAATACAAAATATACAGTATATGTAAAAAATACGGGTGAAAGATAAAAAATGAGACAAATCGATGTCGGAAAATTACAGAAGAAATAATTTATTAAACACAACACTAAAATTAACAACCAAAGTAATAAAAATATATTAAATGAAATTATAACACTAGCAGAAGAACAAGGTTTTTGGCCGGGAAGATCATGCACCGACACTATATTTATAATGGGGTAAGTGCAAGAGAAATCCTTCGAATACAATAAATCTGCATGTCTATGTTTTGTAGACCTTAAGGAGGCATTTGATCTGGTCAAATTAAAGGATGTTATCCACTTATTGTACGCAAAAGGACAATCTAGGAATCGAGAAATAATAAAAATCAAAATGGGATAAGACGAGGAGATTCCCTGAGTCCTCTATTGTTCAACTTAATTATGAATGAAATAATAAAAAATTAAGATCTAAAAAGAAAAATAAATGGGAGGAAAACAACTTAAAATAATCTGCTATACAGACTACACAATACTCTCAGAGTGAAGATACTTTACAACGTATGGTGCACATGTAAATTTACACAAAAAATACAAAATGCATTACGATGTAAATTGAAGCTGAAAGGTCAGATAATAGAGCAAGTGATGGAGTTTAAATATCTAGGCATCACATTATCTGACTACGATAAGCTCGATATAGAAGTAGAAGATCAAGTGAATAGAGCATATAGAGGCGCAGGTTGCCTGATTGAAATAATATGGAGAAATAAAAAAATGGGAAAAGTAATAAAAGGAAAATTTACAAAACAGTCATAAAACCAATAATGACATACGCGTTAGAAACACTACCTGACACAGAGGGGACAAACCATGGTACAACGAAAGGAAGGTATGATCGATAGCGTGCTAAATTTCGCCTGTTCTGCGCAGTGACGTCATGCGGAGAGGTACATTCTTAAAATACATGGAAGGAGTGCTTAATTTCATCACTTCAATATTTTATTATTTATAATTTATTGTTTTTATTATTATTTTTTTGAGAATATTTTATCACTTTATGAGACATCTGATATTTCGTGCCGGATTAAGCGTTTTTTGGGACCGAGAGCTAAATAGCAAAGATTGTTAATCCGGTTCCAGGGATATTAATTAAAGGCTTTGGTCAATTTTAGTATTTAAAACTAATTAATGTAAGTCTGCTGAAATTAAAAATAAAAATTCTTTTATTTGTGGTTATAGCATGATTTTATTTCGTTTATAATAGAAATAAAGACGAGTAGTCTTTTGTATCATGTATTTACATTTCATTGATATTTAAAATTAGGCAGAAATTAAACATATCAATAATTTTAAATGGTACATAGTTTATTAAAATAGATCCATACAATTCACAAAAATAGGAGGGGTGATAAAACATATTATAAAGTTATAATCGGCCATTATTTTGATAACATATTTTCATTGTTAAATACTTAAGCGTTCAAATCCTGTGTAAGGCCACCAAATCTAGATGAAATCAATAGTTCTCCTTGTACTTAACAGTGTCAATTTTCATATTTAATTTGTTTGTCTCATATGTAACAAGTCCAATCAAAAATATTGAGAATGATATTCAACGCGCCCTAGTATGTAAGTAATAAAACCCTACATTAGGCCTCAGCTACTTCGATGGACTGATAAATCATCCAAAGAATGAAGCAAGACTGTTACATGCTCCTTCCGGATTTGCAAAATGATATACCGAATTACCCCCGTTACAAAAAAATATATATGTTAATTGAACAAAAAAGTGCCTGTAACGTCAAGCTTTTTATCCGATTTTTAAATGAAGCCAAGGAGAGACCAAATATTTCCAAATGCATACCATTATTTGTACGGTGAAAATGCATATAAAACAGATCAACACGTTTGAGATTTCTGGAGGGAACATATAAACTAATAGATTGGAGAAGTTCAGTGAAAACAAATTAAAACATTTATTAATTTAAACACAAATAATAAGTCAAAGTTATCTCATCGGGTTTTTAATAAATTCATGTGTGTTTGAGTGTTTTTAAAATATCTGTATAATTATGATTAATAATGTGTATGTTTAATTTATATGCACAATATGTGACAAATTTGTTTTGCAATCTCTCTAATGTAGTAGAATGGACTTGGTATTGTGGAGACCATACAGTAGACGCATATTCCACTTTAGATGCGACTACAGCATAATAAATTATTATTAAAGCCCAAACAGATATTCTCAGACAGTTGCGAATGATAAAGCCTAAAGTGTTTATTGAATTAACTGTTACATCATTTATATGTTGTACAAAACGCAACTGTTCATCAAATGTGACTCTTAACTATCTTTTTGTTTTTACACAAGACAATTCATTATCATTAATTTGTATAAGAAATATTATATTTTTTAATACATCTATCTATCTTTCTTGCTTTCCACTGGTTTCGCAAAAGGTAAATATAATGTAGGCACTGCATCTTCTTTTGAAAGACAGTGATTTTTAAAAGACACTCCCATAAGTTCAGATTTTAAATATCTATTGAAACTATCTGCACTAAAATGTCTTGAGCAAATTTACAATTTACGTAATTTTTACAATGTTTGGATCGTTTGGGAAATGAAAAAACATAATATCTTTCTGAACCACATTACTTTTATTGTCGCTATTACACAGAGCTATTCAACACTTCATCTTTAAATAACGAAAAGAGTATATTTCGCTTAGAAAAATTAAATGATAATTCTACACTTCACAACAATACAAATATTAGCGGTTGAGATTACCTTTACCTCTCCACATTACGTCACACTATAAACGACAACTCCGCCCTCATGCGCAAGATCATATCTTTTCTTTTCTTTGTATCATGGGGACAAACCATATGTTGGAAAAACTCTATGGTCTAGAGGTCTAGACTCCCGCTTTAAATGCTGGCTATCATATTTTTTTCTTCAAATTCAGATTCCGTCCAGTCATTCGAATCTTCATTGTGCTAATTTTTAATATTATATGATTACACCTCATAAAGAGTTACTCATGAAGAGCCCTTAATTCTTATAGGTGATTTTAATGCACGAATCGGAAATTAAATAGTTTCAGGAGTAAAACAAAGATTTAATGATAACCATGTCAACGCAAATGGGGAATTCATGGCTAATCTCTGTGCTTTTAACGAACTCAGAATCAATAATACATTTTTCGTCCATAAGCTCCAGTATAAATATACATTTGAAAAATCCAGGGGACATAAATCTATGCTGTGTATGTGAACACAAACTAGTACTAGCAAAGATAAGAATGAAAATAACACCAAAGCAAAATTTTCTACAGGAAATCTCCGAGGAAAAATTCAATGTAGAATCACTGTGGAACGACTCTACAAGAGAAATGTACCAAAGGAGGCTAGCACAGCAGATACAGCTGAAACAAATAGACGACATCGAAGATATAAACGCGAGCTGGAAGAAAATTAAAAACAACATTGAAGAAGCAGCAACAGAAGCTCTAGGAAAACGCAAAGTCATACTGAACAAAAGAAACAACAACAATACACCATTGTTAAGAAAATAAATAAAAGAGAAATGTAAAGAGAAACGAGAGGTTTACATGAAGTAAAAACATTAAATACCCCAGAATCTAGAGACACCTATAGAAGAATTCGAAATGAAACAAAGCAGTTGGTAAGAAGAACAAAAAATGAACACTGGAAACAGTTTACAAAAAGGATGGAAAGTGACTTCTACGGTACACAAAAACAAATATGGAAAGAACTAGCAGAATTGTAGGAATACAATAACATTTCAGCAAATGAATGGGAAAGATACCTGACGGAACTGTTTAAAGCAAAGGAAAATAATAATCAACACAATAACGTACCTGAATTAAGACACAAAATAGAAATCAGTTTTCAGGAAGTAGAAATAGCCATAAATTCGCTAAAAAATAGAAAGTCGCCAGGACCAGACGGAATACCCAACGAGCTTCTAAAATACGGAGATAAAGATAAAAGACAGGAGATAAAAAAGACCCCAACAATTATAGAGGTATAAAAATAATGAACAATGCACTTGAACAACAAGGATTCAGATCCGGAAGATCCTGTGTATTTGTACTAAAACAAATCACAGAAAAAGCCATCGAGTACAATAAATCAGCATATCTATGTTTTATAGACCTGACAAAGGTTTTCGATCGCATCCAAGTCGAAGACGTCTTACACCTACTGTATAAAAGAAACATACCAATCAATATTATACAAACCATCGAAAACATCTACCTCCAAAATCGAATACAGGCAAAGATAAATGCAAAACTAACACAGTGTATACCAGTACAAAGCGGAGTCAGACAGGGTGACTCGTTAAGTCTACTTCTCTTTAATATAAAAATGGACGAAATAATACAAGCAGTACGTAAAGGTCATGGCTACAGAATGGGGAACAAAGAAATCCAAATATTATGTTATGCAGACGACGCCGCATTAATCGCCGAGACAGAAGACGAGCTCCAAAGATTAACATATGTCTTCAATACAACAGCTAAGAAATACAATATGATAATATCAGCGGACAAAATCAAATGTATGACAACATCTATAGTGTATTTTTATGTATGAGAGAGTAATAAAACAATAAATTATGTATGCAAATCCCTAAACTGTTGATACGGGTGACTCCATGAAAAACAGATATTTGTCAACAAGTTTACAGAAGTATATAGGAAAACAATTTTAAATTGAGTATGACCACCAGGTATAAAGGTTGGAGCAGAATAGAATACAATAGTTGTGAGGGTTACTAATCCCTAAATAAGGTTGCCAGTGTCGGAGTGATGGAGGTTAACAGGTACTAATGAATTTGCAAGAAATGTAAGATGTTTATTTTATTGGTTATATATAACCAATAAAAGTTTAATAAGTACCTACCTATTTGCAAAATAAAGTTTAATTCTTTAGATAAAATAAAACGTTTTATTTTATCTGAAATGAGTGCATTCCACGAAGTAAGGGTTTCAACAATCAAACATTTAATTTTTTAATTCCAGGAATCTACGACAGTAATTGACTAGATAATTACCTTCTAAACTTAGTCCACAGAAAATGTGATAGTGGGTTTTTCCATTTTGTAGGAAGGTCCAAGTGGCGTATTCAAAATTCTTAACAGTTCACTAAAAGTAGGTACTTCAGTTGCAAGGTGCAGTTTATTGTGTATACTAGTGTTATGGAAAATTTGAAAGTGCCGTGTAAATGCCGAAAAATTGGACCTTTAATAGTTAATGAAAAAACATTAATATTTAATTGTTTTAAATCATTTACAGACAAACGTTTATGTGAAAGTGTTAATGAGACCGTTGAGTTAGTTAGCAGTACACTTGGTGTTGGGAAATCTACGATTTAGAGTTATTAAAGAAGAGAAATGTGGTAGTTTTCAAATGCCACGTAATGCTCTAGGTAAACCAAAATTTCAAATAGAATATCATTTTAAAGAAGGACTTCGACGGAAAGTGCATGAATTCTTCTTTAGACAAGAATTTCCAACATTGGATAAAGTTCTTGTCTCAGTTCGAGATGATAAGGATTACCCAGAAATGAGTCAAAGTACGTTATGGAAACTTTTAAAAGAAATAGGCTTCCGCTAGAAAAAGAATCCCAGAAAGTCTATTTTATTAGAAAGTAGCGATATTGTCATATGGAGAAGACATTTTCTAAGAACCATAAAGGAAATGAGAAACCAAAAAAGAAAAATATTTTATCTTGATGAAACATGGATCAACGAGGGTCATACACCAAATAAATTTTGGCAGGATGAAATTGTTACAAGTCACAGGCACGCTTTTGTAAATAACTTATCTACTCGTCTAAACCCACCATCAGGAAAGGGACGCAGGCTGATAATAGTACACATTGGCATTTCAGACGGTTTTGTTGAAGGTGGTTTATTAACTTTTGAATCAACTCGTACCGGTGACTACCATGAAGACATGAACGCTGATGTCTTTCAAGAATGGTTCGAACAAATAATAGATCTTCTTCCTAAGAACTGTGTAATAGTAATGGATAATGCAAGTTATCACTCCAGACTTATAGAAGGACTGCCCACAACCAAGTGGTTAAAAAAAGAATTGCAGAATTGGCTGAGTTCAAAAAATATTACGTACCATCCCGGATCTATAAGAAAGGAACTTTATTCGTTGTGTGCCCTTCATAAAGAAAAATTTAAAAAATACGAAATTGATGAAATTGCCAAAAATCGTGGAATGACAATACTTAGATCCGCACCATATAATTGTGAATTAAACCCGATTGAACTGGTATGGGCACAGATAAAGAGTGAAGTTTCAAGAAAAAATACCACTTTTAAAATTCATGATGTTAAACAGTTGTTTTTGGAGGCCGTAAATAATGTAAAACCTGAAAACTGGGAAAAGGCAGTAAATCACACTATTAAAGAAGAGGAAAAAATGTGGAAGCTGGACAATATTACTGATAAAATGATCGAGCCAGTTATTATAAATCGTGGTTCTGAAAGTTCATCTTCTGAATCTGATTTGGATTTGTAACAAGTAGCTATAAGTTTTATATTAATATTTTTATTCATCTATTTAACATACCTTAGACGGTTTTAAAAACTCTTTTTCTCTTTTGTAATTTTTAAAAATTAAAAAAAAATGTGCATTTTTTAAAACCCATTTTAATGTAGACCAGTCAGTTCTAATATAGTGTGTGATAAAAGAGGTCACTTTTGTTTACATACACGTAACACTTTATAACACTGAAATAATTCATTTATTTTTTACAATTATTCAAAGTAATTTTTCAATTAATCTTGAGCACGCCCATGGAGTGGTCGGAGGCACCAGTTAAAATTATGCTAATTACTCTCTCGTTCATAAAAATAAACTATAAATACCCACTACGGTGTAAAATCGAAATTTATGGGAAAATAATAAAGCAGAAAGCAAGGTTTAGATATCTGGGAATAGATATAACTAGTTACGGAGATGTTGAAGAAGAAGTACGACAACAAAGCTTAAAAGCAAGTAAAGCGGCGGGTTCTCTTAATGACACAATCTGGAAGAACAAACCCCTAAGACAAGACACAAAAACAATAATTTATAAAGCAGCAATTAGACCTATATTAACGTACACGGCTAAGACACATCTAAAACGAGACGACTGCTAGAAACAACAGAGATGAAAATACTCCAACGAATATCAGGGAGAAGTCTATTGGATAGGGAGAGAAGCGAAAGCATAAGAAGAGCATGCAATATAGAATACACAAATGGATGAGTTACAAAACGAAAACAGGAGTAGAACGAACATATCAGTAGAATGGCAGAAGATAGATTAGTACGAATAGCACGAGATAAGTCAACAAATGGACGAAGAAGTATTGGCAGCCCAAGAAAAAAAATGGTGCGACAATTTAGGAGGCTAATATTGAAGAAGAAACAGGCTTTTAAGTTTACATACTAGAAGGAAGAAGAAGAAGAAGAAAAAACAGTTGTAGTGATAATAAATTATGATAAATTTTGCGGAAATTTTGAAAACATAAGTTTTTAGTGATTCCATCAAGGAACAGTCGAATTTATCTCTTTTATTTTTTGTTTTTGTTTTTACTTTTACATTTTTATTATAATAATTTTAATTTTGTTTAGGATTTCCGTTTGGTATTTTGTTTTCCCAATTTTACGAATTTTCTATTCAATTTTCATTGAGTATTATCGTTTCCGGTCTTTTAGAAAATTTAACATTAATTAATTTATTCATTTCTAAAATTTGTGTATGGGATTAAGTATATTTAAATTTACCATTTAAGGGTTCCGTATACGAATGGGTTCAATGGCACAGGCTTCACCACAAATATTTTCAAACTGATTTGGACCCATACAATCCTTCGAGAGGGTGGTTCTACGCACAGATTCAGAGCACAACTCTGCACTTAAGTCAAGCGCAAGAGGCAGAACTGAAAAAGATTGATATGAGTGATCTCGAAAATGATAAACTAGTAATGTGGCAAAAGAAGTAAGTATTTCATTGACATACATTTTAAGTATTTATAGTGTAATAGAAAAATAGGTTTGTCAAAAAATATAAATTTCACTCAAGAGTAAAGTACCTTTATGTTTCACAATATCCAAAATTGTCATTATGCCAAGTTGTTTGGAATTAAAAACTATGTTTTAATATGCAATTACATCCTACTAATTAAAAAAAAAATATTTGTAAATTTTCCTTATTACCGATACCCAACATAATTTTTGTTTATTACAACTACGAGTATGATAACTGTTTTATTATTAATTTTACAAAAAAAAATATTCTTCATAAAATGTTCTGCATGGTCTATAACCTAAGATGCAATTATCAGATAATATATTTTTTTATTCTCATACGAGGTACGTCAAAAACCATGAATCTTGAAAATGAAAAAAAAAAATCAATTGGAAAAATGTGATTTTATATTAAAACACAGTTTTTAATTCTGAAGAACTTTTCATAATAACAATTTTTAATATTGTGAAAAATAAAGGTACTTTACTCCCGAGCCAAATTCATATTTTTTGACATACTTTATACTTCGTATAAAATTGATAGAATGTGATATTTGATGCATCTTAGGTTTTAGACCATGCAGAGATTTTTACGAAAAAAAAATTTTTTTTTCGTTTAATTAATAATTAAAAAGTTATCGTATTTATAATAAATAAAAATGTTTGGTATTGGTAATTTCAGAAAAATTTGCAAAATTTTTTTTCAATTAGAAGCACATAATGGCATATTTTAATTCCAAACAACTTTTCATCATAAATATTTTCGATATTGGGAAATATAAGGGTACACTCTTGAGTGAAATTCTTATTTTTTGACAAACCTTTGGCAGCCTTTAACAGAGAATTTAAAAATTTTGTTGGATAATTTACAGCTTCGTCTTCATTAATAATATTGTCAATTTATTTAAAAGATATCAGATCACCTGCTAACCGCTTTTAAATCTGGAAGTTAATTTCCTTAATATCAATATTTTTTGCCGCCAAAATGGTGTGTTCGTTTTGCGCCAATTCAAAGCCAATTATTCAGCATAGCCAGAAAGACACTTACAATATGTTTGGTCTCAATGAAAGTGCAGAAATTCTCTGGAAGTTTGATGCATTGTATATTTGGATGTAGTTTTATTTCACCGTTTACAATATTCAGCAAATGTTTGGAAAAAATTTGCGCCGATAGATGATTTTGCACTTGTAGCCTTATGTTAATGGTCAATCAAACTGTTTCGATATTTTGTCATAAAAATGATTGTTTTAAACATGCATCCGCATATGCAAAGAGAGGACAAACCGGTAATGTCTATCGGAAGTCACAAGAGGTATTAAGACTGCATCACCGAGTAGTTTGTAAAACAGCAGGGAGATACTGGATTCCATCAAAATAAAAAAAACTAGAATATCTGAGTCATATAACAGGTGGTAACAGATATGAATTCCAAAACTAATAATGCATTAAAAGATATGACATCTCAAAAAATGGTTTGGATGCAGCTCAAATAAACTCCTTAGGGCTGTAGTGTCAAAATTTAGAATAGCAGTGATGATTGCCAACCTTAGTCGGAGAAGGCACGTAAAGAAGAAGAAGACCGAATAGTTTGTTGTTGTCACTTAAATTTTGCATACTTCAATATAATGCTTCGAGTGAATGTTTGTGAGTCATAGTACATTCTTCCCAGATAATAACTAAACTCCTTTGCATCAATGTAAACATTTTACTTCTTTTTTTAATGTTACACATGGCATTTGATTTGTTATGAATGTCTAATAGCAGCTTGAGTACTGAATGTGCTGTTCGTCCATCATCTAACAATATTCTGAATCACCAGTAATAAGTAATTTTAAAGGTTCTAGTTAAGTGTGTAACGATAATATTTTGCCTACCACAGGGGACTTTAACACAGGGGATAGAAAATTGGGGGAAGAAACTATTGGGGGTGAAGATAAGGCAAGCAAAATAAACGCTACTTGTGCGAACGGCACTCAGGGTTTCGTAGGAGAGTTGGGGTCGTGGATAAGTAAAAGATAAGGGCATTGGAATGGGGCAACTACAAAAAAATGAAATAAAGGGCTCTTGGGATAAACAAAATAAAAATAAACAAGAAACACCTCAAGGAATTTAATATAGGGCGCCACTTGAGGTGCCTAATTATGCCTATTACAACCACTAGTTGTAACTAGGGAAATAATTAGAAAACAAATCAAAACATAAAAAACATATCTTTTTCAAATAAGAATCAAAAAAGGTTTGGCTCAAAAAAATAAATAAAAAGTTAAGACAACAAAATTTAACCTTTATTTATGTGTCACCACAAACAGTTACATGGAGAAAAAACAAAACACAAAAACTTAAATGTGTCATTCGCTTACAAACTCTGTTGCTACAAAACTTACAAAATTGCATGGAGGTTAACCTTTTTTTTTTTTTTAAAAAAAAAGTAAAATCAAAAAATAATAAAACGAGCTGTCATAAATTAACACTAAATTTCAAAAAAAACTAAACACATAAATTGACAGCTCAACTCAAAACCTAAAATTTACAATTTTAAATGTCAACGAAAGCAATTATTATTTCATAAAAAAAATTGTCTGTCTTTAGTTTAAAATTTGAACACAAAAAAAACAGTTACCTTGATTTACATATTTCCACTTCACAAAAAGAACTTGTTATATCTCTGTAGCATCCATCCGGAGATCAGCAGCAAACACATCCATTTGGGGCCGAAACAGGAACAAGACATCCATTGGGGGCCGGAACACACCAGGGAAAACGGGAACTCTCAAAAAAAAAACATGAACCCTCCAACAGGAACCAGACTTTTCAAACATCTCGAAATATCGAGCGAAAACTTCACTACTCCCGGCAAATTAATGCCGGTCACTTCATACTGGACAAAATCCATCACTACTGCTACCCATTTTCACCACAATCAACGAAAAAACAGAAAATTTTACGAACTTGACATGAATTTTAACATAACGCTGAACCGCTCTTGAAAGCTGCTCCAACGAGAGTGACGAAATTATCTATTAAAATTGATCGCATAACTTGAAAATAAATAAACACTTGACATAGCAAAATCAAGGAAACGGCGCACATATCCTTTTGCGACGCATAAACTTGAAAAGAAATTGCCGAAGTAAAATAAACAACTCTCAAATGGTTTTATTACTCGGCGACGAAACACTTTTAGGTACTTTGAAAGATACGAACTAACAACATGGACAAATTCTTCGTTTCATTTTTTAAAAACATATAAGGAGTTTTTAATATATTTTATTATACAAGGAGGTTTCAATATACTCAAAAAAATCAATGAAATTGAAAATGCTACAAGTGGTAAAAGATGGTAACACAACTTTTCCTGATGCGCAATATATGCCAAGTGCTTGATATAGCAATGATGAATACATGAATAGCAATTTTAAAATAAGCAGATTATGTTTAGAACATATTAAAATGCAAGACGAACAAATAACATACATATAAATGCCCGTTTGATTCACGTCTTTCTCGTTCTTGTGTTTTGGATGTAGCTATATGCTGCTGACGTGCAGCTCTCCTTCTTAAATATCTTTAATAAGCAGCACGTGAGCAGGATATAGCTACATCCAGAACACAAGAACGTCTCTCCCCCAAGTATATTTCGAACAGTTACCTATACTTATTCCTATACTTGTTCAGAGTTCGATCTTCAACTGAGACTAAGGTTTACTAAGTGCTACGTATGGTCAGTGCTGCTATATGGCGTAGAGGGCTGGACACTCAAAACGAGGGATATAAACAGATTAGAAGCTTTCGAAATGTGGCTTTATCGCCGTATTCTAAAAATACCATGGACAGCGAAAATCACAAATATAGATGTCCTTAAAAGAATAAACCAAGAACGCCAACTTTTCGAAACCATCAAGAAAAGGAAAACAGCGTATCTAGGTCACATCATGCGAAATGAAAAATACCAGTTCCTCCAACTTATAATCAAGGGTAAAATTGAGGGCAAGAGAGGAATGGGACGCAAGAAAATGTCCTGGCTCCGAAACATAAGGCAATGGACAGGGATTAACGACATACAATCTCTGATTCATATTGCAAGAAATAGAGAATTAATGGAAAATGTGATCGCTAACATCCATTAGTGGATTTGCATCTGAAGAAGAAGAAGACCTATACTTATAATAGTGAAATTTGCAGGGAGGAAATAAACTGACGCAGGCTTCTCAACTAGTCTTAACAGGTGACATAATTGTAATAGATGACGTTAGAGAGCCACTGTGACTAATAATTTTAAACGACACCTTATGTCAAGTGAATTCTCGTTTAAAAGGTATTGAACATACCCATACAATCATACTAATTTTGTTTGGGTTTAAGCTGAGATTAACGAATAAATTAAATAAGTACTAAAATTATAATCTCGCATTTAATTAATAAACATTCCAACATCCGCCTCTGGTTATTGGTAAAAAAAATTACGGTTTTTTAATTCCCTAGTTGTTTTTGCAAAAGAGTACGCCTTAAATATTTAGTTTAACTATTGTTTAACGAGACTCACTAAAAATTGTTTTTCAATGTTATATAGACAGGATGGTACGTACTGTAGCCGACAAAATAGCAGCTGTCTTAATAATTGGTGAATATATAAACAATTTTCATGCAGCAGAACGTCTTTTTAATGAGAGGTGCCCCGATCTCCCTATATCGAGGACTTATTTAAAGAAGCTTCTTCGGAAATTTCAAAAAACGTATTGTTCAAGATGTCAAACAATCTGGTCGACCAACAATTACTGATGACAACAAAATTTACTCAATTGCAGAAATGGTAGTGAACCCTACTTCTTCTACAGCCCAAGATCTGAAGATGTGGCCAAACGAAATTGAGCCATTAATTATTGAAATTCTGAAAAATAATCCAGATGAATTCGACAATTTGGAAATAATGTTTCAACAAGACAGTACTCCGGCACGCTATTATGGTGCAG